CACTAGCCTCCTATACAACACTCTGCCATGCAATTAGCTGATAAAAAACCCTGTCACCCCAGGTCAAGATGCTCCTGATTTTCCATACACAACGGAGTGTCTATGTACAAAGCCAGTATTTTTATTTACAGTTTATTTATTTACAGTTCTTATATTCCACCCTTCTCACCCCGCAGGGGACTCAGGGCGGATTAGAGTAAACACATATATGGCAAACATTCAATGCCAGTTTGACAAACAACATTTAACAGACAAAGGCTATTTAACTTTTTTTCTGGCCGCCAGGGGAGCTGCTGCTTTTCATCGTCCATCAACGACAAACGATGAAGTTCTTCCGCATTCCACATTCCCCGGAGTCTTCTTTCTTTATGGCCTCATAAATTAGTTAAATTTAGCCTCCCACACAAGGTGGTACCTTATTTTCCTACTTGACAGATGCAACTGTCTTTTGGGTTGCAAAGGTCGACAACGGGCTACACAATGGCTGGACACCCACTCCAGCCCGGGCTGGCTTCGAACTCATGACCTTTTGGTCAGAGTGATCTTAATGCAGCTGACACTCAGCCAGCTGCGCCACAATCCCGGTGGTTATGTTAAATGTGGCCGGGAGGCAGGGAGAACATAAGAGGTTGAAGACGGCTTCAATCCTTCCATAGGCATCTCACCACCTGGTCCTTTGAAACAGATTTCCATCCTGATGGAGAGCCATGAGAGTTAAGCATAGCCAGGGACACAGATCACAATGTAGGAACTCCAGTTACAACATCTCCATCGACAGGTAGCTGTCTAGCCTCTTAAGAAGACACACAGGGCCCTTCTAGACAGGCCTTTTATCCCAGGCTGTTCCAGTTATTGTTGCACCATTCCATGTTCACATATTGCACGAATCAATTATCCAAATGCTTGGTCCCACATCCAAGTTTTCAGTTTTTTTCCTAAAGGTCGGGAGGGAGGGAGGGAGGGAACTAATCTGATGTCACTGGGGGGGGGGGAGTTCCACAGCTGAGGGGCCACCACTGAGGAGGCCCTGTCTCTCGTCCCCACCAATCGCGCCTGTGAAGGAGGTGGGACCAAGAGCAGGGCCTTCCCAGAAGATCTTAATCTCTGGGAAGGTTCATAGAGGGATATGAATTCAGATAGTTTTAGATATTTACACAAATCTGTTGTCCAAGTTTTATGGTGGACTCTGCAGAACATGCTTTTGCTCTACTTCATAAAAAGGAAAATCAGCCTGTTTCACAACCCTGGCAAATGCTGATTTATTTTTAGTAAATGTTTGACTCCTACACTTATTTTATATACCTATATACCCGGGGTCACATAAATATTTGCCAGGTTGAAAGGAGACCCAAGTGGAAAAATTTAACAAGCCCTGGTCTAATACATCTGAATGGAAACAAGTCTAAATGGATAAATTGTCTATTTTGATTAAAGAAAAGTAACAGTTTTGAAAGACCAGAAACCCTCAATTGACTTTTTAATGTGATCTGATGATTGCTGGGGTTTTTTTTTTTTGTGAACATGAGTTAAACATATAGATGTAGTGAAATTTCTAGATAGAGAGAGCTGAGAATATAAAAGAGTTAATACAACTTGTTCTTGTTATTGGTTTTATTCATATTTTAAAAAAATATTGTTGAGTCAATGAATCCACACAGACAAATTCAATTGACTTTGAAGGAACGTGTTCATCTTATCACCCGGTAATGCTGAGAATGCAATCTGAGACCACAGGATCACCAACAACCCTTTAATTCCATGCTGTTGTCTTCAGAAGTATTCCAGAAAATTGGTGCCCTTATTACAGGTTCCCATATTAGGTCTGAAACATTTCAGAACATCCTCCTGCCCAACCTTTCACTGCTTCAGAAGCTGTGCCTACGCTCAAACCTGATGGCAGGGGTTACCTTTCTGATCCCAGCTTTCCATTCCCTTTGAACCATCTGGCTTTTTTTATTCCCTCTTGAAGAACGCACCTCTTTCATCTCTCCTCTAAACATTTCAAAGTGCTAACTGATCTCCTACAAAAAGCAAAAGCGGGGCACCGCACTGAGATTTCACCCCTCAGCCCACAACGGTTGTTTTATGTTCTGGTGTTTTCAGTCTTGGAAAGATTCCCCAGCACCAAAATAAGTCTTTTGATCACTTTCCATAAGAACTTGAAAACTTAGGTTCTTCCTTCAGGTACTGGAAGAGTTGTACTTTCATGGATTGTTGGGCCCTTCGGATTCTACTGAACAGGGCTGCTTGAAATGTTGTAATTTGAGTATCCCTTATCAAATATGCGTAGGACTATAAGAGTTTTGGATTTTGGAATGCCTGTATTTGCATATACATACAAGTTGAGATATCTTGGAGCTGGGAACCAGGTTTAAACATGACATTAATTTATGTTTGATACACACTTTATACACATAGCCTGAGAATAATTTTATACGTTTTTAATAACATTGTGCATGAAACAAAGTCGGTGTACACTGAATCATCAGAAAGGTGCCATGATCTCAACCATCCCATGTGGACCATTCCAGATGAGGGATACTCAATCTGCACCTGTTTATGAAAACATGACCTGCTTTATAGCAAGAGAAAGCATTGGTTATCTCTCCAGTGAAATCTATTCGGAATAGTACAAAACGGAACATTGGTCTTACCTACATGTGATATGTTCATTTCCAGCAGATAAGGGATGGAGTTATTGCATTATCTTGGTTCAAGTCCCTACTCAAATCATGGAAAGCCACTGGATGACTTTATTTATTTATTTACAAAATTTATGTGCTGCCTTTCTCACCCGAAGGAGACTCAGAGAGACTTACAAGTTATATGTACATACAGCATATTATATTATTAGCATAGCACAATATTAGTACCATATAGTAGTATATTGTACTATTCCACTATAATATAATATTATTAGTAATATTACATGTAATATGAAATATAAAATTACATTGTATTATTAATATATTGTATTACATTATAATATTATCAATATTACACGTGTATACAATATATTATAGTATTAACACAAGTCACACTCTCTCAGCCTTTTTTATTATATTAAAATATTTGAACAAGTCACACACTCTCAGCCATAGAGGAAGGCAAAGACAAACTTCCTTTAGTCCAGTGGTTCCCAACCTTTGGTCCTCCAAGTGTTTTGGACTTTAACTACCAAAAATCTCAGCCAGTTTACCAGCTGTTAGAAATTTGTGGGAGCTGAAGTTCAAAACATCTGCAGGACCAAAGGATGGGAACCACTGCTCTAGTCTAAACAAATTTTGCCAAGAAATCCCTGTGACAGGGTCACCTAAAGGCTGCAATAAGTCAGAAATGACTTGAAGACACACTACAACAACTGATTTATAATTTCCTTTTCCCAATAATGAGATTCAAGGTGACATATTAAAAACTTTCAATAACACCCTTACATATGTTATTTTTTAAAAAAACAATTGAACTGAAACAATTTCAAATTTATTAAAAACTATACTTAGAAATCACCTAAACAGGACAGCATAGCCTATAAAGGTTAATTTCTAAAAGTCTGACAGAATAGGATGTTTCTACTGCAGGTGGAAGGAAAACAAATAGGAAGCCATCCTAACATTCCCAAGGAGAAAGTTCCAAAGTCTGGGAGCAGCCACTGAGAAGGACTTCTATCTTGTTCCTACTAAAAATGCTGAGAAGCCTTTCCAGAAGACATAAGAGCCCAATGATCTCATATAGGACGTTCATAGAGAGTGTCCTTCAAATAGCTCAGACCAAAGTCATATATGGACTTTACAAATACAGTTGCACTGTTTATTACCAAAGAACTACATTAATAGAGCAGGAAAGGACTGAAAATTACAGGGTTCAAAACAAGTCTAGCCTATCCTACCTGAGATGTCAGATCTGAATCTGGGACATTCTGCATGTGAAGTGTGTGTTCTGCCACTAAAGTAAGGCCATTCTCAGATGCCATAGTAAACCCATTAGCAGATCCACACCTCCTTCCATTAAAAAAAATACTTTTTTCCAGATTTTTTTTAATGTTTTGCCTCAAATAAAGATTGGAACAATTTCTCCACATTTCCTCCCAGGCCATTTTGGGCACAGGAAAACTACTAATAGGATTCAAGACTACTAATAGGATTCGGGTCTAAATCTGCATTATTCCAGTCTTTTCTCTACCACACTTTAGTCTCTATCTGCTGCCAGTTCCTTTTATCATGCGGAAAAGGCAGCTGTAAGATACCGCCAGATGTAGGATCCAGGATATGTCTGCATAGTCTGATGCTGGTGATGTGTTTCTTTAAATGCTATGTTATTTACGAAATTTCCTGTTCCCAGATAAAAAGCAGGCCATTGTCTCCTCTCCTTCCCTCATGACACTGTGTTTGGTTTGATTAAGAGGGAGAAAATCAATTTTTGCAGTAACTAGAAACAAACTCAAAAGAGACAGTCTCTGTTTTGCTTTTAATTTGGGCTCTGAAAAAGGAGTCTGTGTTACGATGCTTAAGTGAATGTTATGGACATTAACTGTAAAAACTTCCCAAAAAGGAAGGAGGGGATTTCAACTAGAAGTCTGAAAAGATAATTAAAAATGGATATTAGATTAATTTGGCCAGTTAACATGGACATTATTGCAGAACCAAATCCAAATCCTGTTGTCTGGAACTCGGTGCAATCACATTAAGAATCTACTTGTCCTATCAAAGAGCCTCAGTTTTCCCCCCCAAGATGTATCATTTGACATGGGAAGTCTTTTAAAATACTCTCCATTTCAAAACTAAGTTTTGCAATATGCAAACATTCATACCACACATTCCCTGCAGGTCATAATGATGGGTATTTCTCTATTCACACCAGATCCAGCTTTTTGTAGTTGTCTCTCAGCAAGAAACGGATTCGTTGAACAGAACCAGGGACAGAAATGTGTGAGTGGAAAACATTTTATTGATAAATCCCACAAATATTTAATATATTTTGTAGGTGGGCATGCATGTTTTTACCTGCACTCTGCAGACATTTCTTCCAGTTAAAAGAAATGTTGGGGGCAGTCACAATTCCTTTAAAAACACCAAAATTAGTATTGTTATTAATGAGAAAGTAACAATGAAAGAACAGTACCATCACCACCACAATCAAAATCTATATTGTGCTCATGCATTGAAGCAGGGTTGGGGAACATGTAAACTCCTGTGGATCATAATGATGGGTATTTGTCTAGTTGCTTGACTGCAAGACCCATCAGCACTAGGCAATATAGGCAGTGATAAAAGATCATGACAGATTCAGTCTAATGTCCCTGCATTAAACCAGGAATGTGCAGTTATCACATTATCCTTCATAATTGGCTATGATGGCTAAAGCTGATGGCACATCAAAAGGGCCACACTCTGAGAAAAAAAACAATATTCCACAATCTGAAAGAAACAATTTGTGCTATCATTTTTTTATGGAGATCATTTTACTTTTGGGTCTTATTCAAAGAGCTGATGCAAATCTCATTTACCAGAATAGACAACCTATTGCTCTCCAGAAATTGGTGGATTTCAACTCCTACACTGGGCAACACACATTTTGGTGCCTCAAATGTTAGCTCTGTTTCTGGGTATATTAAACTGACCGATTCCAAAAATGGTACCAGTTTCCCCCTATGAGCTCTAGTTTTTGAGATACAGAACATATGGCATCTACCAGTCACCCTCTGCTCGCTCATAGAAAATCAAGACAACTCTAAGAAACTTGAGCTGATGCAGTTTACCCAATGCCATTTTCTGAATCAGTGTCCCAAAGAACAGGCCTAAAAACTAAGGGAATAAAGGCATGTGCCCAGATTCTATACTAATTGCAGACTAGTTGAAGCCATGATTGAATCTGTGACTTTTGTCCTACCACTTAGCTAGGTTCCTCCACTTAGCATGCTGCCTACCAACAATAGTTAGCCAGGTACCTATGAGGAAGGGCAATACACCACACTCAACACATCCAGTCTCATGTGAATTAAGAAACTAAGTACAGCCAAGTCTGGTTAGTATTGGATGGGAGACATTCACAGAATACCATGGATCCCTATGTAGGGCTAGGAAAGGATCCTGCTAGAAGACCTAGAATGGTGCTGCTGCCAGTTAGGATCAACCATACTGGATTACATGGAATAAAGATGATTCAATGCAAAGCATTTCAAGCTATCATTCTGGCCACCAATAATAATAATAATAATAATAATAATAATAATAATAATTATTATTATTATTATTATTATTATTATTCGAAAATACATCACACAGTCCTAGGCACTTGGGAAGTGTTTGACTTGTGCTTTTATGATACGAAATGCAGCATATAGATCTCGTTTGCTGTGACATACTGTGTTTTTGTGTCAGTAAAATAATAATAATAATTTGTATTGTGTTTTATCTCTCCAAAAAGGAGACTCAAAGTGACCAAGAGATCTAACTTTGTCTACTCCAGAATCTTATCTACTCTGTTATGCTTTAAAAAAAAAGGTCATGTGGTACAAATGCCCTCTCCAAGTTTAATTTGTCACTGAAGAAACAAGAACCTTCCTTACCTTGAGCCTGGACATATATTTTGTTTCTGGTGTGAGGCTTGAAAATGAAGACATTAGGGGGAAAACAACAATAACAGTCAATGTAATTGTGCAAAGCAAGGGGAAGTCAGGAATAACCATTCTGTCCCTAAGATTGCTGCCCATAAACGTTGTGCAGAGGGAGATAAGAAACTAAGCTGTAAGACGTGAAATTCTGTAAAATGCTCTTCACCTTTTCTTTCAGCTCTCCAATATGAATCAACTGGAACCACTTCATTTGTGGCCACAGGAAAGGGAGACTCCACCTGAACATTAGGAAGAACTTCCTGGCCATAACAGTCTGGATGACCCTTGGGGTCTTTTCCAACTCTATGATTCTATGCTTCTCAAAAAAATGTGCACCAAGCCATTTGTATCCTACAAAAAAAAAGCCCAGAACTAGGCTTCCTCAACCACAATGCAGTGATTCAGAAGGGGAAAAAAACAGTTTTTTTGGGAGTGGGAGTGGGAGTCCTCTACAAAAATGGCTCTGGAACAGGCACATAATTTAGCCTCTGGGAAACTGAGGGGTTTTTAAATAACAACTTGTCCAAAGGTTTTCAGAGAGGCCTCTTGAGAATAGCACTACCTGCTGAGGCCCATTTGATGGTCATGCAGGAAAAGGCATTCCTCTGTGTTTCTGCTAAAGCAGGAATGGAGAACAGCAAAGGAGGCGGGAGCCTTATTTCAGCCCCATTCTTCCCAACTCCAGGGAGGCAACATCTCTTCGAGAACACATCATGTCACTTGTGGTTTATAGAAATTCTCTTTTCAGACTACTTGACGATGTAAATGTCAGTCCCTTCTGCCATTTTCCCCATTTCTCTAATTCTATATTATAGTCCAAATTCTGCCCCCGTTTTAGTTACATCTTTTTTCATTTCTATTTTCAATAAAGACTCAAACAAAGACTCAATACCAATTAAAGGGTCGTCATTAACATGTAATTGTATCGCAAATTCACTTCTATTTTGTACAAAGCCAAACAGTTTTAAATCCATTTTTATATCTTTCCCGCAACTGTCTGTACCAGTACCAGTTCATATTTCATCCTTCTGGCATAAGCTCCCCCTTTGCTTTGAATTTAAGTTGGCTGTTTCCCAATTTCAATAAATATTGATATATTAACCTTTCATTATCATTGTTTCTCAATTCTGTAAAATGCTTCTTTTAGTGAAACTGATAGTGGAGGTTTGGCCATAATCTGGATTTGCATTGATTTCAAATTCTCAACAAAACTTTGCTGATGTAACGGTTTGCAAAATGTGCATTTATTTCAGCTTTGTCATACCATAAATACGTATGCCAGCCAAATTTCACATTGTGCCCTTCTAACAGCTTTTCATCTCTCAACATAATCCAATATTTTACGTGTCAGACAGTAAGCAACAAAATACATTATAAAATCTGGCAATCCTAAAACTCCTCTTCTCCAATAATTTTTAATGAGCTTTTTGCAAATACATAATTCAAACAACTCAAGAAGGTACTGTGGACATGGACATGATCTGACAACTAATATAGAAATGAAACAGACTACATAATTGGAAGCAGAAAGTGGAGAAGGTCCATTATCTTTGCAAAAACAAGACCAGATTGCGGCCCAGATCATGAACTACTAATACAGCGGTTCTCAACCTGGGGTCCCCAGATGTTTTTGGCCTTCAACTCCCAGAAATCCTAACAGCTGGTAAACTGGCTGGGATTTCTGGGAGCTGTAGGCCAAAACACCTGGGGACCCACAGGTTGAGAACCACTGTACTAATAGCAAAAGTCAGAATAAAGCTAAAGTAGAACACTAAACCTATCATCATTCTGAAATACAACTAGAAGAACATCGAACTGATTGGGATCCAGATGAAATCTGGACTGAAGTCAGGGACATTGTCAGGGAGGAATGCAGAAAGACACCGTCTATAGTAGTGGTTCCCAACCAGTGGTCTGTGGACTACCAGTGGTCCACAAGAACAAAAATATGGTCCACGGCCTCACCATTACTACACCGTTGCCTTACAACCACGAGGAAATTAGAGTGACTGGTCTCGTGAAACCCTCTTATAGTGCTGAAGCAACGGGGATGTCGGGAGAGGAGGGGCGAAAGATTACTACTACCACATCACCTCTAAATTATTAAATATGGTTTTCTATGGGTGAGCAGATGGCGTCTACTGGATGGCACATGTTCTGTTTCAGAAACTAGTGCTGATGTGGTCTATCCAATACAATTTTCTGAATCAGCACACCAAATAACCAAACTGAATCTAAAGTTGACCAAAAACTGATTTGTAACCCTTCTGGTACTAATGTTGAAGAGTGGTCCTTGGTCAAAAAAAAAAAAAAAAAAAGGTTGGGAATCACAGATCTATAACCAAAAAAAGAAAGGAAAGAGATGCCGCAGTAGACAGATAAAACTCTTCAAGAAGTCAATGACAGAAGTGAAGGAAAGTCAGAAATTTGGATGCAAGTGTTCTGTATTGATTAAATAAGGAAGAACTTCAGCAAGATCTGAGATACCCTGGAAAATTTATGTTCTATGACCAGCAGGGGAACACATGACCAGCTAGGAAAAAAGATGATTGAAACAATACAAGGAACAACTATATAAGAGAATTAAAGATTCCTTTGAAGAAAAACCAAATGAAGACAAACCTCCAATATTAGAAAGAAAAAGCACAGCATTCAGACCACTTAGAAGAAAGAAATCACCAGGTATAGATGCTATACCAAAAGAGTTGCTTCAAGCTATACATACAGAATATAGTCTAATTCTAACTAAAATCTGGCCTGCAGATTGCAAACACTCAAGATACCTTTCAATCCCCAAGAAAGAGGCCGCCAGGGATTGCAGGAATCATAAGGCCATTGCATGAAGTACCCATGCAAGCAAAGTGTTACAACAAAGGCTTTTACCATATGCAGAAATATGGCTGAGACCATTTCAAATGGATTTTGATTTTCAACTAAACTAGGAAGCATTTAGCAATGTCAGAAGTAGATTGGGGCCAGTGGTCTGAAATGAGCTTTATTCCATGTTTATGTTAAACATCAACCAATTTAGTAATTTGACACAATTATCAAATTAGCTGAAAAGCAAATATTAAAATATGTATCCTCGAATTAATGTTGGTGGCATTTTCTCATATGCATCAAAAAGTAGTTTGTTGGGCAAAAGCAGGGAGGAAGATTTAATGCCTTCTCAGGAAGAAATGGAGGGGAGGAGAAATGTTGGGGAAAGTAACAGGAAAAAGATAGTGAAGGTACAGTCTGCCATCATATAATGAAATCCCGTTCTTAGCTGGAATAAAAAAAAATAGTGGAATTCAACCCACACTCGCCAAGTCTCAAGTCCTCAATAAGGAGCAGTTTGTTAGTTTAGTACAGACTAAGGGTTTCCCTTCCCCCATTGCTCTTGTATGACAGTTGGTATTGTATGTATTTCTTCTCTCCTCCCTGTTTCTACTCTCATTCTGATTGGTTGTGTAGAATGGATACTTTTCTACTGCAAGCCTTTTTAAATCTGACTTCTGTTTCTTACATGGGAGAATGTGCTGTGTGTTTTGAGATCTCTCTCTGCATGTGTGTCAGAGAGATGTAATGATTGGTGTTTTCCCCTCTCTTGAAACCTTAGAAGAGATGGGTGTTAAGAGTAGCTCAGACCCAGTTCTTTACTATTAAGAAACGTAGTTATTGTTTATTATCTATATAAATAAAAATGTAATGTTCGTTTGTGGGATTAACATTACTCAAAACCACTGGGCGAATTGACACCAAATTTGGACACAAGACACCTATCAGGCCAACAAGTGACCATCACTCATAAAAACACTGAAAAATACAGCAGAAGGGACTTAAAAAGCAAAAAAAAAAAAAACAACACAAACAAATATTCATTACAACGCATGTGCAAAACCACATATATACACATATACACAAATATATACAGAAATATATACACACATATATGCACACACAAAACACACAGGGGGAAGGAAGGAAGGATAAAAGGAGGGAGAGAAAGGGAAAGAAGGAGGGAATGAGAGAAGGAAGGAAAGAAAGGTAAAGAAGGAAGGAGAGGAAATAAAAAAGTGCAAGAGGGAAGGAAGGAGCGAAGGAACGAAAGACAGAAAGAGGGAGGGAGGGAAGGAAGGAAAGAGGGAAGGAAGGCTGGAACCAAAGAGCAAAGAAAGCGAGAAAGAAACAGGTAGAGAATGAAGAAAGAAGAAGGGAAGGAAAAAGAGGGAAGGAAGGAAACGGGGAGGGAAGGAAGGAGAGAAAGAAAGGAGAGAAAGAGGGAGGGAAGGCTTGCCACAGCAACGTGTGGCGGGTACAGCTAGTTGTAAATAAACCTTTTGTGATTTTTAAGATTGTGCTTTGCATCTTTGCCTGCCGTAGCTCTGAATTCTTTACAGCCACATCACACGGCACTTCATGCGTTGCTAGCTGTGAACTGATTCTCAGCTTTTACTACCCTGTTTGTTTTTGGATGCTCTGCTATATTTTAGGGTAGTTTCCCCTAACAGCCATATTTTCCCCTTTTTCCTCTCCCATGGTAATGCAAGTGAGAGAACACCTCTGGAGTGCATACATCCTAGGTTCAAGTCCAAACTACTCCAGCTAGAAGAACCACATATTAAAGCAATGGAGAAGATGTTTCTCTTTTTTAAACCTTGAAAATGCAAATGGCATGGAGCAAGATGGTATGGGGCAGGAATTTTCACCTGCATAATGCAAGCCCTTTGAGGGAGGAATCTCTAACTTGGTTTTATTATTAGACATAGAGTCCATTTACATGTTTTTGTAAAAGACTTGTACATAAACAACATGATAATTACAACTCAGAGAAGTTTCTTTTCTGGCTTGCAGCTCTTAGAAATCACCAGCCAATGACCAGACTGGATGGGGGATCCTCAGAGTTGCACTCCAAAAAAGTACATTTTCCAAGTGTTAGTGATAATAATTAATAAGAAAAACAATCATAGCAAAACAGTTAAAGGAGGTAGGCACCTGAGCTTTTCTGAGAACAGCACAACATTCACTACAATCTTATGGTACACTGCTACAGACAGGACTACCAGAAGCAGTGGCGCTACATACCCAATTTGATATGGCTTTTTCTCTCATTGCCTCAGTGAAAGACACGGCAAACCTAGTGGCAATGAAAAGAAAGGGTCTGTATCATACATGTCATATTTACTCAAAAATCACATTCTCATCAAGTTACAAATGTGTTCTTGTTTGAAACATATTATAGCTAGCCTTAATTTTTTATAGATACTAAATACCTATAAAAATGATGCCCATGACTCACCCTACTAAAAAAAAAACCCAAAACAAGAACAGAAGCCAAAATAAATACACAAATGCCAACAGCATTCAAAATACCAGAGCAGCTAGCAGACGGATACTTCAAATGCCTTGGTGAATAAAAAGGTGTTAACCTGTGACAAGAAGGTTTATGAGGCTGCTGTCAATTACATCTTGACCGTAAGGGTATGGGCTGAAAACAGTGATTTTTCACTTTAGAACTATGCATTTGTTGCACTGTTCTGGGTGTTGTTTTTTTTTTCCACTTTAGTGTAAAATATTGCCAGCTTCTGCTAAATGGCAAAATTGATAGAAAATTGATAGGGCCTTCTGAGATACTGCTGGTAAGGTATCCCAGCTTAAATAAAAAGAGACAAAAAAGAAGGCCTTATAGGTTCCTTTGGGAGTACAGTTGGCTCTCCCCTTTTGTATGTTTCACTTTTGTGAACATGATTATTGGCAGATTATTTGCTGCTGCCTCTGCTGCTGCCCTATGCCTTTTTAAATAGGGACTTCAAGCCTCATGAAACTGAGGGAAACTGTGAAAGTGCAACGTGGCTTGAATATCCCTATGAGTGAGGGGGATACTGAGGCATGGAGAAAACTGAGGTATAGGGGTGGCATACTGCCACCAGTGAAACAAGCACACACACAGCTTGCAGCAGCAGCCACCATTCAGCCAGGCCCCCTGCAAGGAGTTCTGCCACTGCCTGCCTGCTTTCTTCCTAAATTTCTCCACCCACCTGCTTCCAACCCAGCTTTCTCTGACCACCTACCCATTTGCTCCCTGCCTTTTTCTGCCTGCCTGCTTGCATAGTGCCGTTCTCATTGCTCGGAGAGAGGGAGGCAGTGGACAAGAAGAGGAAAGCAGGAAAGAACTGGGTGCCCAGGTGGAGCTATGAAGCAAGGAAGTGGTGAAGGCAAAGAAAGTAAAGGTGGGCATCAGACATACTGCTCATGTGTCTGATGCCCTTCTTAGTGCCTTGTGGAGAAAGGAAGCAAACAAGTCAGCAAGCACAGAAATGCAGGGAAAAACTGGGCACCTGGGTGGAGAGGTTAGGTGAAAGCAGGCAGGCAGAGAACGGAAGGGATGTCCAGTTTCTCACTACCTTTCTCCACCCACACACTTGCTTTCTTCTCTCACCCATTCCTTCCCTGCTTTTTTCTGCTCACTTGTTCACCCTCCACCTCTTTATCCCATGGCTAGGGCAGATGTGCAAATGTGAATGGAGGACAAACATGGCAAGCAGTGGGATGCTGCAACCCTCCCCTGCCTTCCCCCATCTACCCTCACCTGCTACTCAGGTCATGAAGACTGCTACCTCCTATGCCCCAGTTGGTGCGGCCTGGGCAAAACAAGCATAGGCAACACATACCAACAGGAGGAGGAACAGACCTCTTCAGAACAGGGTTTGGCAGGCAGCTGAGATGGTTGAAGCATGTAGGACCTGCTTTTTCTCCTCTTCCTCCTCCTAATACTATGTGTTTCATGTGTCTGTTTCACCTGAACAATGCTGTTGACGTTCCCAGCTAGTGCAAATAAGGCTCTCTGCTGTCACCTTCATGGAATTCGCCTCCAGCTGGAGCCTCCACTTAAACACAGGAGGGAGAAGAGACAGTAGTAGAGGACAGAGGGACGCAGCTCCAGGGTGCAGCAGTAGCATTAGCTGGACTCTGGTGCCCCCTCCTACAAAGAAGAACCCCCAGTGGAGCACCATCAACCTTCACATCCATTTCCATGTGGGGAAGGCACAGTTGTGCTTTTCACCCCAGCTGGCTTCCCAGGCTCCTTCCTTCTGCTGCGACCTGCACCTCTCCACATGTGCCATGGTCGCAGGAGAAATAGGCAGGGGTGAGCAAGCAGAGAAAGGCAAGGATCAAGCAAATGGAGGAAGGTAAGGGAAGTGAGAGGTCTAATTAAAAACAGGGGGTGAGGAGGGGAGCGGAGAAAACAGCAGGGTAGCAAGGGAGTCCTTTGGGAGTTGCTGCAGCAGTGCTGCTTCTACCCGACCTCAAAAGACTCCCAGAGATCTTCATAGTTCTTCCAATTTCATGGGGTGGGGGCTGTGTCCATAACTCCCACAAAAACCGGGGACCAACTGTATTAGCTATGGACCTGGGTTGCGCTGGCACACTTCCGCTACTAAATATAATTTGAAAAACAATTGATTCTACTGCAATGGTAAGCAGTAGTTCTCTCTAAGTGTTGCAGACAAGCCTCTGTTATCCACAATCTTTGGCTGTGGCTACAAATCACCCTCTATATCCCTTCCCTGAATGAGGGACAGAATTGAGCAAAACAATAGAGATTTGTAGGTGGGGAACACCATGTTGAAAGAAGATGTCAGTGCAGCAGATGTTTCAGGAGAATGGAGGAGAGATGCTGGGCATCAGGTTATAAAGAGAGCAGAATTCTTCCAGCCTGAACCAAACTACAATTCCCAATTGCATACTTTTAGAGGCAGTTATTCTTACATAAACAAGACTCTTCTTTAATTGCATATTTCCCTAACTGGAATTTAATTGTCACAACAGGTTCTATATGTGTCCAAACCTGACAGCTTTAAGGTGTATCAGACATTGAAGGAAGATAAACAAAAGACTTTCTCCCCAAATCCCTCCAGTTCCAATGACCTTTACTGCAAATGATATTTCCAATCACGTTATTGAGCAGGAGAGCAAGGACTATCAAACTGAGCCATGAGCTATCAAATTGAGCAGCATACTCTTAAGGAGCATATCTGCCATTCAAGACAAGTCCAATCAAAAATAAAATAAAATGATAAGACTACTTTATGAAAGCTAGACCTATCAACAATTTGGTAGAACAAATCTGTGTTTTTACAGGACATTCTCTTCAGCATTTCCAATTGTTTTGAGGGTTTTTTTTTGGGGGGGGGGGGGGGAGCTAGAGAAGGGAAATCCCAGAGCCCAATGAGAGATCACCTATGTTAAACTCAGAAGATCCCACATGTAAATTTCACCAATGAGAAAATACCATTGTTTATGGTTCTAAGAAAGATGTTGCCAGGTAGTGTTGACAGCAGAGGACTAGAGGGACCAAGAGATTGACTTTATACCGTGGCACTTGTTAGTATTTTTCTCAAGTCGAAGGGTATTAGCAACACAACCTTCTCAGTGGCTACTCTGAGACTGTGAAATTTCTTCTCAAAGAAGGGTAGGCTGCCCCCTTTCTGCGATGGACTTTTAAACAACTGACTAGCAGCTGTGAAAAGGCCATTTCAGTGGCAGTGCTGTCCTTTTTAAAGAATTTTTAATTCAATCACACTTTCAAATTATAGATTAATAGCAAAAAGAAAGGTCCCTGCCAAAACGAAAAGCAAGTACATCTCATATCTTTGGCCCCACTGGCCTAGCTACTCAAAGATGTCAAGAAAGTTTCTTGAAAGTAACTGAGCAGCTTATGGCACAGTACTTCTTCTCCAATTCAGTTATGGACAGCAAGGTCATTTTGACTCAGGGCTTGTAATATTTATAACATAGTTCTCATGCCATCTCCTAATTATTCTTTCCCCAAAACATTTGAAGTTGGCAGTACTCATCTCAGTGGCCAGGGTTACAGCCTGCTTGTGCTATGATTTGTAGAAAAGAACAAATTTACTAAACGGTCAGGTGAGATTCCTGGCAATTCTCAAGTGTGACAGTGGTGATGGGTTCTGAGTCAGCAAACAGATAATCTGCTCTAGGGTCTTAATTGAGTCCTATCCACAATAAGGCAGGAACAAGAATGTACTATGGGTAGCTCCTTTTAATTAGGACTACAACATATCACTCCAATGACAGGAATTATCACTACTGGGGTGAGGGAGAAACTGTGAAAACTGCGACCTTACCTGGCTTCATCCAACACTTTCTCCATAACCTGGACCTTCTCTTCACATTTGGCATCTTCATTGATGTCTGTGCCTCCAAAGATGACACCAAAAGGAATTCTGCTGCCTGCAATATGCAAAAAGTTAAAAATCTAGTTGTCAACATAGCATTAATATCCCTAATCAAGAGCTGCATCTATTGTCCCAAGTTTCTTTGGATGCAGAAGATTTTCAACATCCATAAAAAATTGGAATCACATACTAGAAATTGAAGTAGGAACCACTAAACTCCATGGGATTTACTTATGAGTAAAAAATAGCCAGCACTGTACTGAAAGAAGACAGTACTGCTTCCTCCTCCTGGCAAAACTATACTGACTGGCTGCCATGCTTGTAACAACCCTATTAACGTAGATCTGTACAGTGGAGGTGAAGGAGTACAGTTTGCATAAACCATATGCATCAAACTCAAGGCCCATGAGCCAAATCCTCTCCTTCATGTCATTTTATGTAGCCCTCCAAATGCTAGACTACAACTCCTATATTCTCACCTTTAGACCTCATGAATAGAGTTGATGGGAGTGACATCTGGATGGTTGCAGTTTGTTCTGGTCAGTCAAGAGAGTGAGGTTTAGATTTAGATCCAAGGCTTGTAGGTATGATGTCTGATGTTAAAATGCCCTTTAAGCTTTTCCCAATCTCAAAGCCACAGGGGCTGTTGGGTTGCCATTCCCACTATCCCCACTCCACATGGCAGATAATCAAAAGTGATGGCAGTTGTTGTTCTACAACATCTGGGGATCCAAATTGGGTAAAAACTAAAGTGCAACAACCACTATGTAAAAATGTGTAGTTGGCCCTCCATGGATTCAGTGGCCTCTGAAAACAACCATGAGGCTGAGGTGGCCCTTGATGAAAATGAGTTTGACACTCCTGGCTTAAACTACCATTGTCATTCATAGAGGAAGTGGAGAATGACCTGTGTTGTTTTACCATAAAAGTATTTTGATCAGACTCAGAAATTAAATTCCACTGATTTCAACTGGATTTACTCCCAAATATATTTATGTGTAGAAGTATAGTCACTATACAAGCCACTGAAGTAAGCACTGAAAGTAGTTCCCTAATCCGAACCAAATATAGCCCCACCTCACCAGTCAAACCTGTTCCATGATCTTGGGTGTCTTCCTGTTCACACAGAGGAGGACAGTTGACTTTTCCAGACCAGTACTTCCTACAGCCAATGGCAGGATGTGATAACTGGCACTCCTTTCTTAGAACCAATCACACTAAGCAAGACATTACTGAAAAGGTATGAGCTGGCTGCATGTGTGTGTGTGTTGAGGAAGAACAATTAACTGGACAGTTTTATACCTCATTAAGTTAACAAATGGCAACGGTGATGGCTGGTAATTAGCAACATAACTGCTTTTAAATTGTGGAATAAAGTGGTTTGTTACAATTAATAAGGTACCTGTAAGAAAGTGGTTGGAGCTGCTGAAGTCTAACACAAAATGAAATACATGTTACTTATTAACAGGGTGAAATGTTATATTGACACAGCCAGGTAAAATCCTCCAATCCATCCCCACCCTATATGAACATGTGTGATTGTCAATCATACAGGTTCACTGCTTTTTTTGGCCCAAAACTCCTAGAATCTTCCCTCCCAGGAGCAGTAGCCATGATAGCTGGGGGAGTCTGAGTGATTTCACACATAAATAAATGGGTACGTTTTCAAAACTTTGGTTGTTACAATGATGATTTTGCACTTTCCACTCTGGAGAATGTGTTGTCCTCCGGGCTATGTTGGCTCATAACTCCCATCAGTTCTAGCTCTAGCCAGTACATTCCATAATGAGAGATTATGGATTGCTGCTATCCAACAACATTCCCCTGCAACCACTTTAAAAGCAGCCTTCCTAGCACCAACTTTTATCATATCCCACAAGCACAGTTTGGCATGCTGGTTCGGGAAGATGGATGTTTTAATCTAACACAACTGGAGGGCCATGTGTTGGACAAAGCTAGTGTAGACAGTACCAGACAAGCTACACAGACAGTGTGCTGTGGATAAAACTACAATGTACACCAGCTCTTTGTGCTGCTGGCCTGTGTTTTGGAATTTGTTTTTCATTAGTTTGTAATGTTTCAATTAGTAAGGGGCTGACACTCCATGCTCCTTTCCTTGGGCTCACATACAACTGTGCAAAGTAATCTGAGAGTACACTTTGAAAAAAATGATTCTGGTTTTTTTGAGAGAAAGAGAGAGAAAGAACCACAACATAAAATCTAGTACCTTGCAGCAGCCTGCCTGCTTTATAAAGATGAATGGCCAGAGCTGCATCAAAGTTCTCTGAGGAGATGAGCTTTGAGACCACCAATGAGGAGTCACAGCTAAACGTATCCTTGAGGAAACACACGTGGCCGGCAGCTTCCAGATGTTCCCTTTGGGCACAGGAAGAGGTTTTAAAAAATAAAATGGAAAAATATTAATATTTGTTGAAAGTTGTCTACAATGTTACGTAAAATGAAGGTGGTGTCTCCTTCTCTGGAGGTTTCTAAACAGGCTGAATGGCAATCTGTCAGGGGTGCTTTGGTTGTGCCTTTTCTTCATGGCAGAGGGTTGGACTTGATAGCTCATGTGGTCTCACCCAACTCTATCATACTATGAAGGCTTAGCACACCACACCTAATAAACCCTTTTCTAGGGGCCCTTCCACACGGCAATATATTCCAGAATATCAAGGAAGAAAATCCCACAATATCTGCTTTGAACTGGGTAATCTGAGTCCACAGTGCCATATATTCCAGTTCAAAGCAGATAATGTGGGATTTTCTGCCTTGATATTCTGGCATACAGGGCTGTGTGGAAGGGCGCTTGGTTAAACCATTCCAGCTTCAGATGGGATTCTTGTTTGAAAGCACCCCAACAAAAACAASRCTGTYAACATAGAAAAATAACTGCTGAGGTTGTAGCCTTGTCTTTTCACATGRCAGAYTATGAGTAATCTCACACGGATGGGATGGAGACCRATGTTGGGRYATATTATTGACATGGAGGGACATCAATGGCAGAGAAAGTGGAGTGGCAATTGATCACAGGGAACTGAATAATCAGTAAGGGAACTGTGGACCATTTTGTCCTCTGGATCCTTTGGACAACACCCCCGCCATCCCACACCATTGTCCATGTTGGGTGGGGCTTCTGGGACTWACGGTGTGAAACTTCTGGAAAGTCACAAGTTCCACCCCAGGTAGAGAACTTGATTTGGAGGCAGGTAGACCTGGGTTTGAGCCCTGACATTTCCAAGTTAATACTATCAGGAAGGAGGTGAGAAGAAAGGCATAAGATACTGGACAACTGCTGAAAGATAGAATAGATAGGTGCTATTTAGTCTCTGGAACAATGCTAGTGCCTAAGCCACTGGCTGTTGGTTCTTTATGAACATCCAGGCAAGAAATGTAAGGCCCCTGGAACTGTCCAAGTGATGCATGGACTGCTAATGTTCTATAAAAAGACGAAATGGGTGGAACACTATAAAATATGAAACAGGGTGGTTCTGCAATTCATGTAGAAAATGACTTGATATTAAAACAATTTGCCATTTTGGGACTTTGGAAGGATCCAGGTTTTTAACTTTGAATATGTTTGATGGATTTTAATTATGATTTTTTTTTAGTGCTGTTTGTGTTTAATTCTGTTTTAATGATTACATATTTGTATATTTTAAATCGTATACTAATGTTTGTATATCAAGCCACTTTGAGTCCCCTTTGGGGAGGTAAAGCTGGGTAATAATAATAATAATAATAATAATAATAATAATAATGCTAGAAAAACAGTTCTGGGGAGCCAAACGTGGCCCCAGAGTCATACACTGCCCAGCTTTGTTTTAGAATATTCTTTGTTATATATATGCACCCTATTTCTGAGGAGGACATGTTTCTGGAATTGGCAGGGATATATGAAACCACAGATACTAGCAAACCTCTTGAAATTGAAGACGTTCTGCCCCAGTAAGACCATAGCCTTGCACTGGAAGACCCAGAAAATGCCCAAAGAACATATTTTTAGACGAGTATGTATATGAAACCATGAATACTGGTCCTGTGGACACACGGCTTGTTCTGTATCACATGTTGGGAAGCGAGGCTGCAGAATTTCCAGGATGACACTGGTGCTTCATACTTTACAGAAAACATTTTAAGCAGTTTGGTTACAAAATAGTTACTTTGATGCCATAAATACTTTGTAACTTGTTTGTTGTTGTTCATTTGTTCAGTCGTCTCCGACTCTTCGTGACCTCATGGACCAGCCCACGCCAGAGCTCCCTGTCGGCCGTCACCACCCCCAGCTCCTTCAAGGTCCGTCCAGTCACTTCAAGTATGCCATCCATCCATCTTGCCCTTGGTCGGCCCCTCTTCCTTTTACCTTCCACTTTCCCCAGCATAATTGTCTTCTCTAGGCTTTGCTGTCTCCTCATGATGTGGCCAAAGTACTTCAACTTTGTCTCTAGTATCCTCCCCTCCAATGAGCAGTCGGGCTTTATTTCCTGGAGGATGGACTGGTTGGATCTTCTCGCAGTCCAAGGCACTCTCAGAACTTTCCTCCAACACCACAGTTCAAAAGCATCTATCTTCCTTCGCTCAGCCTTCCCTAAGGTCCAGCTCTCACATCCGTAGGTTACTACAGGGAATACCATGGCTTTGACTAGGCGGATCTTTGTTGCCAGTGTGATGTTTCTACTCTTTACTATTTTATCGAGATTTGGACATTGCTCTCCTCCCAAGAAGTAAGCGTCTTCTGATTTCCTGGCCACAGTCTGCATCTGCAGTAATCTTTGCACCTAGAAATACAAAGTCTGTCACGGCCTCCACATTTTCTCCCTCTATTTTCCAGTTGTCAATCATTCTTGACTTTGTAACTAGGCTGTTTTAAATACTTTCTGCAAGTATTTACTGCATTAAATACTTTGTAACCAAGCTATTTAAAACACTTCCTGCTCTTGTATGGGCTTGCTACAAAGATCTGCATGCAAACCCACTCTAAAGATAAGAGTGAGACCTTTCAGTAGTAACGTCCTCAAATTCCTCCTCACAGGAGTACATTTAAGGACTCCTTTTAGAATCATAGAGTTGGAAGAGATCACATGGGCTATCTAGACCAGCTCCCTGCTATCCAGTAAAAGCACTATCAAAGCACCCCCAACAGACAGCTATCCAGCTTCTGCTTAAAAGTCTCTCAAGAAGGAGCCTCCGCCAGACTCTGAGGCAAAGAGTTCCACTGTGGAAGAGCTCTCATAATCTTATCAAATATTAAGGACTTAACATGCAAAACCATCTTATACAAGGGCAACAGATGGAGAGAAAAGTAAACTTTACTTTCTTTCTGGTCGGAATTAACGGAACCTTCATTATAAGAACACCCCCCCCCCCCCCCCCCGAGTCTTAAACTCAAAGAATTACATTCCATCTTGTCCATATCCTTCCTGAATTGCTTCACACAGAATTGGGTTGTTATTCCAGGTGAGATCTGACCAAAGCAGAAGAGAGGGGCACCATGACTTCCCTTGATCTAGACCAGGAGTTCTCAACCTGTGGGTCCCAAGGTGTTTTGGCGTACAACTCTCAGAAATCCCAGCCAGTTTACCAGCTGTTAGGATTTCTGGGAGATGAAGTGTTTATTTTATTTTGGTTTATTTTTATTTTATTTTTTATTTTATTTTATTGCGTCATGTTTTAACCTATGTTTTTCTGGGATTGTCCCTATGTATGCCACCCTGAGTCCCTTCGGGGAGATGGAGGCGGGGTATAAAAATTGTTGATGTTGTTGTTATGGAAGGGCCCTGATTCCACACTGGACCCTTCCACACTGCCCCTATGGCACCTTCCACAGAGCTGTATAAAATCTCACAATGTCTGCTTTGAACTGGGTTATCTGAGCCCACACTGCCATATATTCCAGTTCAAAGCAGATATTATGGCATTTTCTGCTTTGATATTTTGGGTTATATGGCTGTGTGGAGGAGCCCCCGGTGGAGCAATGGGTTAAAGCGCTGAGCTGCTGAACTTGCTGACCGAAAGGTCGCAGGTTCGAATTCAAGAGGCAGCGTGAGCTCCCACTGTTAGCCCCAACTTCTGCCAGCCTAGCAGTTCGAAAACATGCAAACGTGAGATCAATAGGTACTGCTCCAGCAGGAAGGTAACGGCATGCCATGCAGTCATGCCGGCCACATGATCTTGGGGGTGTCTACGGACAACATCAGCTCTTCGGCTTAGAAATGGAGATGAGCACCAACCTCCAGTTGGACATGGTCTTAATGTCAGGGGAAAACCTTTAACTTTACCTTTAGTTGTGTGGACAGGGCCCTAGGGCCCTTCTACACAGCCCTATATCCCAGAATATCAAAGCAGAAAATCCCACATTATCTGAGTGTGGACTCAGATAACCCAGTTCAAAGCATATATTGTGGGATTTTCTGCCTTAATATTCTGGAATATAGGGCTGTGTGAAAGGGCCCTGAGTCCACACTCAGATAATGTGGGGTTTTCTGCCTTGATATTCTGGGATATAGGGTTGTGTGGAAGGGTCCTAGGACTCAATGGAGCCGAGAGTTCCAACGACAAGGAAGGAGATTCCACGTGAACATGAGGAAGAACATCCTGACTGAGAAGAGCTGTTCAACAGTGGAACTCTCTGCCTCGGAGTCCGGTGGAAGCTCCTTCTTTGGATGTGATTGAGCAAAGGCTGGATGGCCACCTGTCGGTGCTTGGATTGTGTTTTTCCTGCCTGGCAGAAGGGGATGGACTGCATGGCCCTTTGGGGTCTCCTCCAACGCTAGGACTTAGGAGGCTGAGCTGAACGGAGAACCGCTGCCTTCAGCCAGGATGGCACTTACTGGATCCTCTGGGCGGTGGTGCCATTCCCCGTCCGGGCTCGCAAACTGGCCAGGAGTAACACGCGCATAGCTCTGTCCCTGCACCTCTTGCCCTACTTCCGGGCGGCGTCGCGGGACCTTCTTTCCCCCTTTTCAGCGGCGCCGGAAGCCACCTGTCGGCTCAAAGGGTTGTGGGTAGGGCGCCGCGTCTGCAGCCATGGCAACCACGGACGCTGTCGTCCAACCCGCCAGCCGCCTCCCCGCTGAAACAAAGCCCAGGAAAGGGCGTTCCGACTCTAACCAACCAGCCCTGGGTTATCTGAGTCCACACTGCCATATATTCCAGTTCAAAGCAGATAATGTGGGATTTTCTGCCTTGATATTCTGGCATACAGGGCTGTGTGGAAGGGCGCTTGGTTAAACCATTCCAGCTTCAGATGGGATTCTTGTTTGAAAGCACCCCAACAAAAACAASRCTGTYAACATAGAAAAATAACTGCTGAGGTTGTAGCCTTGTCTTTTCACATGRCAGAYTATGAGTAATCTCACACGGATGGGATGGAGACCRATGTTGGGRYATATTATTGACATGGAGGGACATCAATGGCAGAGAAAGTGGAGTGGCAATTGATCACAGGGAACTGAATAATCAGTAAGGGAACTGTGGACCATTTTGTCCTCTGGATCCTTTGGACAACACCCCCGCCATCCCACACCATTGTCCATGTTGGGTGGGGCTTCTGGGACTWACGGTGTGAAACTTCTGGAAAGTCACAAGTTCCACCCCAGGTAGAGAACTTGATTTGGAGGCAGGTAGACCTGGGTTTGAGCCCTGACATTTCCAAGTTAATACTATCAGGAAGGAGGTGAGAAGAAAGGCATAAGATACTGGACAACTGCTGAAATATAGAATAGATGCCTCCCTGAAGATGCAGGTTTGCAGCTTGGATGTGATCCTGGACTCATTGCTGAGCTTGGAACCCCAGGTTTTGGCGGTGATCAGGGGAGCATTCACACAGTTAAAACTTGTGCACCAGCTGCGCCCATACCTTGGGAAGTCTGAATTGGCCATGGTAGTCCAGGCTCTCGTTACATCCTGTATAGACTACTGCAATGCTCTCTAGGTGGGGCTGCCTTTGAAGACTGTTCAGAAGCTTCAGGTTGTTAACAGGAGCGGCACTCAGGGAGTGCACAACTCCAATGGCTGCCAGTTTGCTACCGGGCACAATTCAAAGTGCTGGCTTTAGCCTTTAAAGCCCTAAAAGGTTCTGGCCCAGTTTACCTGTCTGAACACATCTCTTCCTATGAACCATCTAGGTGTTTAAGATCATCTGGAGAGGCCCTGCTCTTGGTCTCGCCTTCTTTGCAGATCTGATTGGTGGGAACGAGAGAAAGGGCCTTCTCAGTGGTGGCCCCCCGACTATGGAAAGCCCTCCCTAGGGACATTAGATTGGCCTCCTCCCTCCCGACATTTCAAAAGAGAGTTAAGACCTGGCTGTTTGAGCAGGCATTTGCAGACAAAGTATAACTGATTGAAACTCATGGAACGACAGGACGATGCGACGGAAAATGATTCTAATGATGAGACGCTGAGAACTGTATTTCATGGTTTTAATTGTTAATTGTTTTTTATATGGTTTATACTATATGTAATTGTTTTTTACTGTATTTTATCTTGTGGGGCATTGATTGCCAAATGTAAACCGTCTCGAGTTGCCTCCGGGCTGAGAGGGGCTGTATACAAGTATAGTAAATAAATACATAAATAAATAGATGCTGCTTCTGGGTCCTTCCACGAAGCCATATAACCCAGACTATCCAGGGAGAAAATCCCACAATGTCTGCTTTGAACTGGGTTATCGGAGTCCACACTGCCAGATATTCCAGTTCAAAGCAATTAATGTGGGATTTGATTCAGCTGTGTGGAAGGGGCCTGGGATAAAAGGGCCTGTCTGGAAAAACAAGCCACTGCAACCGGCCTGGTAGTTGGACAGAAAACGTAGGAGAAAATATAGTGCCCTCCCAGGCATAGACATAGTTTCCTCCGACGTTTTGTGTCCCTCGAGCAGGCCGGTTGCCGTGGCTGGTGATGGCAGCCCTTTGGGCCCTGGCCCCTTCCCCAGCCCCCTCCACAAAGGACCTCTTTCGCAGCTGTTCACCACGTGAGGCCTGGACCTGGAAGAGCCTCCCGGGTTTGAAAGACGCGCGGAGCGGCCAATCAGAGAGCGGAGCCGCGCTTCGGAGGAGGCGGGCTCTCCAGGGAACCTGGGCATTCCAAGCGAGGAGAGAGAGAGGGAGAGAGAGAGAGAGAGAGAGAGAGAGAAGTTCGTCGCCGCTGCCGCTGCCCCGAGGGAGGAAGCGAGGGTCTAGGGAACGGCAGGCAGAGCGGGGATTCGCTTAGAGCAGGGGGAGGGGGCGCGCGCGTAGGAAGGGCCCGAAAGATTCAGATTCCCACCAGCTTTTCCGCGAGTTCGAATCCCGGGCGGGGCAGCTAAAATTGGGCTGAGTTTGGAGGCCCGGAGGCATTGGGAGGGGCTGGGACTCTAAGAAGGGGCAGGCTTGGAACCCCTGAACGAGTTTGATCTGTGTTGAGTGGACTGGGAGGGAGAAAAGTCAGAGATTGGCCAAAGGGGAGGTTGCTGACTCCTAGAACCCTCAAGACAGTGGGCAGTAGGGTCTTGGGGACACAGCAGGAGAGACTCAAAGTTGGAGGTCTGTTTGAATACTTTCTGGAAGTTGTTGTAACTCAGTCGCCTTGACCTTGAAGCCGGGCCAGGCCTTGAGGGTTTTATCACCCATCATCCCCATGGAAGAGGCCCAGGCGAGTGAGCGGAGCCCCCTCCTTGGAGAGCAGGCCCGCTCACCTGTGGGATCCTCTTCTGTGTTCCACGGGCGGCGCTTGGCATGTGCGGCGGTGCTCCTGGCTGAGCTGCTGGAGAGGGTGGCCTTCTACGGCATCACGTGCAACCTGGTGCTCTTCCTCAATGGCACCCCGTACAACTGGGAGGGGGCCCAGGCCAGCCAGGCTTTGCTGCTCTTCATGGGCATCACCTACCTCGTGTCCCCCTTTGGGGGCTGGCTGGCAGATGCCCTGCTAGGCAAATTCCCCACCATCTTGGTCAGCATGGCCTTGTACCTGCTGGGGATGCTGGCCTTCCCGGCCATGGCCTTCCCCACCACCCGGCAGTGGCTCTGCGGCGAAATGCACCCATGGCCCGTGGAGAACTGCTCTGCACCTCTGGACACCAACGTGACATCGCCGCCATGCCAGCTGGAGGGAGCCACCCGCTATTGCCTCGCTGCCACCTTCATTGGCCTGGTGCTTGTGGGCATCAGCGTCGGGTCGGTCAAGGCCAACATCACACCCTTCGGAGCCGATCAGGTTGAGTACCACAATTCCACAAGTCTCATGCACCATCGAATCTAATGCGCACCTTCATTTTCGAAACCCCGAAACCAAAAAAAGTATTTGTAGCTGAATGTAACATGCAGTGGCAAAAGTGCTGTCTTTGGGCCGTTCCACACAGCCAAATAACCCAGAATATCAAGGCTGAAAATCCCTTAATATCTTCTTTGAAGTGTGTTGTCTGAGGGCCCTTCCACACAGCCCTGTATCCCAGAATATCAAAGGCAGAAAATCCCACATCTGAGTGTGGACTCCGATATCCCAGTTCAAAGCAGATATTGTGCGATTTTCTGCCTTGATATCCTGGGATATAGGGCTGTGTGGAAGAGCCCTCAGAATATCAAGGCAGAAAATCCCACAATATCTGCTTTGAACTGGAATATATGGCAATGTGGACTCAGATAACCCAGGGCCCTTCCGCACAGCTCTATATCCCAGAATATCATGGTAGAAAATCCCACAATATCTGTTTTGAACTGGGTTATCCAAGTCCACAGTCAGATAATGTGGGATTTTCTGCCTTGATATTCTGGGATATAGGGCTGTGTGGAAGGGCCCTGAGTCCACACTGTCATATATTCCACTTCAAAGCAGAAAATGTGGGATTTTATTCAGCTGTGTGGAAGGGGCCTTTGTCATTTGGCCGTTGTAGTTGCTGCCTGATTAGGATTCCTTCTATAAAAACAGAAGTGTTAGAACACCAAAACTTCTAAAAATGGAAAAGAAAACCTCAGGCTGCATCGATGGTATGGAAAGAATCCACTGTAATTGCTCTGGTTCAGTGCTATGGAACCATGGAGCTGTAGTTCTACAAGGTCTTGAGCCTTTTCTGCCAAAGAAGACCAATGCCTCACCAAACTACACATCCCAGGATTACATAACATTGAGGCATGGCAATTAAATTAGAGATAATATTCCCCAAATAAGAGCTCTGAGTGCAGTTCCTGAAGCTGCTTCCCCTTTTGCATTGGCTCAGCACTAAGGCCCCTTCCACACAGCTGAATAAAATCTCACATTTTCTGCTTTGAACTGGAATATATGGCAGTGTGGACTCAGATAACCCAGTTCAAAAAAGAACGTGGGATTTTCTGCCTTGATGTTCTGGGTTGTACGGCTGTGTGGAAGGGCCCTGTGATGACCTAATGCACACCCTAATTTGGGAAGGTAATTTAGCCGAAAAGGTGAGCATTAGATTTGAGTAAATAGGGTATTACCCCCACTGCCTTGCTCTTAGGGCCCTTCCACACAGCCATATAACCCAGAATATCAAGGCAGAAAATCCCACAATATCTGCTTTGCACTGGGTTATCTGAGCCCACACTCAAATAATGTGGGATTTTCTGCCTTGATATTCTGGGATATAGGGCTGTGTGGAAGGGCCCTTCGAATGAGATTGCATGTTGCTGTGGGAACCAGTCAAGCAGACAGATTTCCTGACTGTCACTTGGATTGATAAAATTGGATAAACATGTCATAGATCAAAGCTTTCCAAACATTTCCTGTTGGTGACACACTTGTTAGACATTCATGACGTCGCGACAGAAACACATACATAAATTGAAATAACGAAAAGCATCATTTGTTGACACAGGGCCCTTCCACACAGCCATATAACCCAGAATAGCAAGGTAGAATAACCCACAATATTTGCTTTGAACTGGGTTATCTGAGTCTACACTGCCATATATCCCAGTTCAAAACAGATAATGTGGGGTTTTATTCATCTGTGTGGAAGGGGCCACAGTCATTTAGTCTTGCTAGCAAACTGGAGGCTATTTATTTATTTATTGTGTCATCCGTAACCAGAACATTGTATTACATTTCTAACAGAACAAAAACAAACAAACAGATTAAAAAAACCCACAAATTTTGCAAACTTGGTAGCTGATTAAATGTCCTTTGACCAGTATCTGGTCACTTGGAGTGCCTCTGGTGTTGCCGCAAGAAGGTCCTCCATCATGCATGTGGCAGGGCACAGGTTGCATTGCAGCAGGTGGTCAGTGGTTTGCTCTTCTCCACACTCGCATGTCGTGGATTCAACTTTGTAGCCCCATTTCTTAAGATTGGCTCTGCATCTCGTGGTGCCAGAGCGCAGTCTGTTCAGTGCCTTCCAAGTCGCACAGTCTTCTGTGTGCCCAGGGGGGAGTCTCTCATTTGGTATCACCCACGGATTGAGGTGCTGGGTTTGAGCCTGCCACTTTTGAACTCTCGCTTGCTGAGGTGTTCCAGCGAGTGTCTCTGTAGATCTAAGAAAACTATTTCTTGATTTAAGTCGTTGACGTGCTGGCTGATACCCAAACAAGGGATGAGCTGGAGATTTCTCTGCCTTGGTCATTTCACTATTGGCTACAACTTCCCGGCGGATGTCAGGTGGTGCAATACCAGCTAAGCAGTGTAATTTCTCCAGTGGTGTAGGGCGCAGACACCCTGTGATAATGCGGCATGTCTCATTAAGAGCCACATCCACTGTTTTAGTGTGGTGAGATGTGTTCCACACTGGGCATGCGTACTCAGCAGCAGAGTAGCATAGCGCAAGGGCAGATGTCTTCACTGTATCTGGTTGTGATCCCCAGGTTGTGCCAGTCAGCTTTCGTATGATATTGTTTCTAGCACCCACTTTTTGCTTGATGTTCAGGCAGTGCTTCTTGTAGGTCAGAGCATGGTCCAGAGTGACTCCCAGGTATTTGGGTGTGCTGCAATGCTCCAGTGGGATTCCTTCCCAGGTAATCCTCAGAGCTCGGGATGCTTGTCTGTTCTTAAGGTGAAAGGCACATGTCTGTGTTTTAGATGGATTAGGGATCAGCTGGTTTTCCCTGTAATAGGCAGTAAGAGCACCTAGAGCTTCGGAGAGCTTCTGTTCAACCATCTCAAAGCTCCCTGCTTGAGCGGTAATGGCACGATCATCAGCATAGATGAAGCTCTCTGTCCCTTCTGGCAGTGGCTGGTCATTTGTGTAGATGTTGATCATGGATGGAGCGAGCACACTCCCCTGAGGCAGGCCGTTCTTCTGTTTCCGCCATCTGCTTCTCTGGAGGCTAAACCAATTCCTTATGAAAGATACAGACACAGACATACATAGAATCATAGAGTTGGAAGAGACGTCATGGGCCATCCAGTCCAACCCCCTGCCAAAAAGCTGGATGGCCATCTGTCAGCACCCCTGACAGATGGCCATCCAGCCTCTGTTTAAAAGCTTCCAAAGAAGCAGCCTCCACCACACTCCGGGGCAGAGAGTTCCACTGCTGAACGGCTCTCACAGTCAGGAAGTTCTTCCTCATGTTCAGATAGAATATCCTTTCTTGTAGTTTGAAGCCATTGTTCCGTGTCCTAGTCTCCAGGGAAGCAGAGAACAAGCTTGCTCCCTCCTCCCTGTGACTTCCTCTCACATATTTATACATTGTAATAATGAATGGAAACACAATGTATCTCTTGAAAACCTTTCATTTGTTATCTCATATATATATAAATGATTTATTGCTCAATTCACACATACTTATTGGTTTCTCATTATGGTCACGCAACACACCTATGCACTGCAGCCAACATACTTATTATTATTATTATTATTATTATTATTATTATTATTAACTGTATTTATGTCCCCCCTTTCTCCACGTAGGGACTCAAGACAACTAAGCACCACACAATCTAATAATTTAAAACAAAACAAACAAATACATAAATAGTGTGTGGATATAAAGTTAAAATACAACAAATACAATTAAAAGTATTGTTAAAACTTACCATCCCTCCCCAAATCCTCTCTAATGTGTCTCAACACACAGTTTAGAAAGCTCTGCCATAGATCCATCAGAATGGTGTGCTCTGCCTTGTGAGTTTTCAAGATTTTGGGCCTCTATGGGAATGGTTGCAGCTCAGTAGTATAATCCCTGATTATCTGGCAGTGTAGATTCAAATAATCCAGTTTAAAGCAGATAATCTGGGATCAGATTCTGGGATATAGGGCAGTGTAGATCCAGCCTTTCGCACAGCCATATAACCCAGAATATCAAGGCAGAAAATCTCACAATATCTACTTTGAACTATGTTATCCGAGTCCACACTGCCACAAATTTCAGTTCAAAGCAGAAAATATGGGGTTTTATTCAGCTGTGTGGAAGGGGCCTGAAACTCCTGTCTTAAATCCTCTTCCTACTCAATGTAGAAAAGTGGGGAACGTTTGGCCCTCCAGATGTTTATTGATTTTGGAATTGTATGCCACAGCATCTGGAAACCCAATAGTTTTTCACTCCTGGTACAAATGACACTGGAGCGATGGCCATGGCTTGGTATAATGCAGCTTCTGTTGTGTTTTCAAAGTACCAAGCTTGCAAACTCTGTTTTGTCTGTTTGTTAAAAATGTAATATAATTGTCTGGTTGATAATGTCACGATGAATAAATAAATAATAGACTGTATTAGACCATGCTTTAACAATAGGAGATGACAAGGATGATGCTAGAGTAGTGGGGGTCCTCAAAGCAGAAACTGGATCATCCTTTGTTGGGTGTGTTGTAGCTCTGGATTTACTACATTGAACAGGAGGAAGCTTGACTCTATGGCGAAAAGACCACCCCGACTCTTGATTCTAAAAAATGTGCAAAGCATAGGCTTACTATGCTTTGATCTGCTGGCTCTTTGTATTGTGATAACTTTGTAGTACCATGATCTCTGATCTCACGAGGGCAGACATTGCCTCTATTTAGGCAGATTGCACGTATTCTATGCTGTTATTGTATTCAGAATTGCTATGGCCAGGGTGCATATAGGTTGTAGTATTAATGCAGTTTGACACCACTTCAACTGCCTGGACTCCATACTATGGAATCCTGAGAATTGTAGTTTGTTGAGGCACCAACACATTTTGGAGAAGAAGTCAAAATACCTTGTCAAACTACAACTGTCATTGTTCCATAGCTTTGAGCCATGGTACTTAAAAGTAGTGTAAGGCAGCATTCATTCTGCAGTGTAGATCAG